CACAAGCTGTGACCCCAAGGCCGTTTTAGGGGTAATTAGTTTAGTAGTATTGGTCACATACTGTTTCTATTTTCTTCAAAACACAGACTTTCTTTTATGAAAAAATGCGTCCATTACTCCGGAAGGCCCTCTGACGTCAAAAGTAAGACTACATCTATTTTTAACTGGAAGCGTAATAAGAGCAACATGTAATTCTACAGAAGCATCCTGTCAAAACAATACTTTTCTGCAGACAGATCACATGTGAGAGCACGAGGCTGCTTATTGGACTTGAGTAAGCCACACTGAATATTTATAATAGTTCTAGTAACTTCTACAGTGCCTTCAGAAAGTATTCACACCCCTTGACTTTTTCCACCTTTTGTTGTGTTACAGCCTGAATTTAAAATTGATTACATTTAGATTTTGTGTCACTGATCTACACACAAAGCCCATAATGTCAAAGTGACATTATGTAAAAAAAACACATTATAAAGCTGAAATGTTTTGTCAATAAGTATTCAACACCTTACTTATGGCAAGCCTAAATAACTTCAGGAGTAGAAATGTGCTTAACAAGTCAGATAATAAGTTGCATGGACTAACTCTGTGTGCAATAATGGAGTTTAACATTATTTTTGATTGACCCCATCATCTCTGTACCCCACACATACAATTATCTGTAAGGTCCCTCAATCGAGTAGTGAATTTCAAGCTTCAGATTCAATGACAAAGACCAGGGAGGTTTTCCAATGCCTCATAAAGAAGGGCACCTATTGGTAGATGATTTTGTAAAGTTATTAACTACACTTTGGATGGTGTATCAATACACCCAGTCACTACAAAGATACAGGCATCCTTCCTAACTCAGTTGACAGAGAGGAAGGAAACCGCTCAGGGATTTCATCATGAGGCCAATGGTGATTTTAAACCAGTCACAAAGTTAAATGGTTGTGATAGGAGAAAACTGAGGATAGATCAACAACATTGTAGTTACTCCACAATACTAACCTAAATGACAGAATGAAAAGAAGGAAGCCTGTAGAGAATAAAAAATATTCCAAAACATGCATCCTGCTTGCAAAAGGCACTAAAGTGTAAACATTTTTTTGCAAGGAAATGAACTTTTGTCCTGAATACAAAGCATTATGTTTATGGCAAATCCACTCTTCATATTTCCAGCATGGTGGTGGCTGCATCATGTTATGGGTATGCTTGTCATTGGCAAGAACTAGTGAGTTTTTTAGGATAAAAATAAAAGAAATAGAGCTAAGCACAGGCAACATCCTAGAGGAAAACCTGGTTCAGTCTGCTTTCCAACAGACACTGGGAGACAAATCCACCTTTCAGCAGGACAGTAAGCTAAAACGCAAGGCCAATTATACACTGGAGTTACTTACCAAGACGACATTACATTTTCCTGAGTGGGCTAGTTACAGTTTTGACATAAATCGATTTTTGAAAATCTATGGCAAGACTTGAAAATGGCTGTCTAGCAATGATCAACAACCAACTTGACAGAGCTTGAAGAATTTTTAAAAGAATAATGGGCAAATATTGTACAATCCAGGTTTGCAAAGCTCTTAAAGACTTACCCAGAAAGACTCACAGCTGTAATCGCTGTCAAAGATGATTCTAACATGTATTGACTCAGGGGGTTGAATACTTATCTAATCAAAATATATTAGTGTTTTATTTTCGGTCATATTTTTGGGTGGGAATTTTTCTTCCACTTCGACATTACAGAGTATTTTGTGTAGATCGTTGACAAAAAATGACAATTCAATTCATTTTAATCCCATTTTTAACACAACAAAATGTTGAAAAAGTCAAGGGGTGTGAATACTTTCTGGAGGCACTGTATTAACAGAGGAATGTTCCCGCAGTGGAGGCAAACATTTTCTGTTTCTGGGAGAACACCAGCGTACTGAACATCTTGCCCAACCTTTGAAACGACTTTTAGAATTAAATATTACTTTCTTTAACACAGCTGCCTTGAGCTAGAGGTGCAGATAAACAGATGGTCATTCTGCAGACTACTAAATATATAATATAATATAATAATAATATGCCATTTAGCAGACGCTTTTATCCAAAGCGACTTACAGTCATGTGTGCATATATGTCTACGTATGGGTGGTCCCGGGGATCGAACCCACTACCCTGGCGTTACAAGCGCCATGCTCTACCATTTGAGCTACAGAGGACCACACACACATTCCATCTCAAACAATTCTAGGTCTTGCCTGCGTAACCAAGACGTTCACATTATTTGTTGATAACAAGTTGTCTGCCGATGATGTCCCATTGATGGAGATCAGAGGAGACTGGTGGGAAGAGTTATAGGAGGACGGGCTGATTGTAATGGCTGGAATGGAATAAATGGAACGGTATAAACATATCAAACATATAGAAACCACATGTTTGACTCTGTTCCATTGATTCCATTCCAGCCATTACAATGAGCATGTCCTCCTATAGCGCATCCCACCAGCATCCTCTGATGGAGATATATTATTCTTCAACACAATACTATAAAACATTATCACAGGAACAACATCCTACTTATTGATGGGTGGGACAAATAGTAAAACAACCATAAAACAAGCACAACCTTCTGAATATCTGCAAAGCATTAGCCAACGTCAACCCAAGGTCTTAAACACACCTATATTTGGAAATGGTCTTAAGAGGCAAATTCCTAAGGAGAAATTGTCAAACCCCCAGGGAACAGTTGAAGATCAGGAGTTTGCTGTTGGCTGTTCCTGTGTAAACAGCAGTGTGTGAACAGCTGGGTGTGTTCCCTGTCTGACTGTGTTATCGCTTAAACATTTTGCATTCCAGTTGAGTGCCTCTATTCTTCATTACTACAGTACACTGCCTCAGACAAAGCACTCTATGGAAACTAATAATAGCCAATGTTTGCCCTGGATGACTGGAGTCCCATGGCTTGAAGAGCTTCCTCTCATAAGCAACTGGTTGTTGCCTCTGTAGATCATCTGTAAGACCATTTAATAAGCTGTGAAGGTGCTGAAACATCTGTTTTTTCTTTTGGTTATTATTTTACTATCTTTTCCAACATTGGTGTTTTGACATCAGTGATTGCTGCATGCAGCTATTTCTTAACTCCAAGTTGAATTCAGTGGATACATTCAAAAGGCAAACACTACATTCAAAGACTCGTTATACATCACACCCCAAACAGTACAAGGAAATAAATGCAATACTGTATTTCGTGACCTTGGGACTATAAGGTTCTATCTGATACTTTGGTAAAAAAAGAGTTTTTCATCTTTAGGTGGTCCTTTACCTGTGAGAAATGTCAGATTTTTGAAAAAGTTAATTTATGATGAACAAACATTTAAAATCAAAGTTATATCTGCGCAAATACTTTTTAACTTGGTGCTATAAGGTTCTGTCTGCATTCCAATCACACAATGCTGGGTTGTCAATCAAAAATAATTGTATGTAAGGTGATATACTTATTGAGTCATGAAACAGGAAGATATCACAAACAGTTCTGAGATCTGGGACTTGAAAAATACTCATAATCTCAAAACTACATTTTGCAGATAGAACCTTGAAGTCCCAAGTTCTTGATTATTCATATCATAGTTTCCTGTCCTTTAAAAAAAATACTTTAAATTTTTTTTTATTGATAACTAGCAAGTAGTTTACTGACTTTGGGTGTCAGAGATTTGAAACATATATAAATGTACTCATCCACAGCTAAGCTTTAGCAATGTTGCTAGTTATCCATAGGATATTATCGCTTTAACAAATGTATGTTGAACATGAATTAATATATTTGATAATGTGATTAGAAAGGATGAAGGGTATTCTCTTTATTTAATGATTAAATATCTGTACTTTTCTATTGAAATTGAAATCATTTTAACATCCTGTGGCTCAACCCAGAATGACATTTCAGAGCCATAAGGTTCAATCTGCAATTGTGCCCACCTAAGAAAAACGGATTTACAAATGTCTTAGAATTGTGATCCTCTGCACTTTAGGTACATTTAAGGTGAGGACCTTAATGGGTTCCGAAATAAAATAATTCACTACAAAACATTTCTGAGATCTGGGATGTGAAAGCTTTAATGCTCAATATCTCAGAACTATGCTTTGCGCAGATATAACCTTATAGTCCCAAGGTCTCGATTTCCAAATACCACAAACCAGTTTCCCTGATGAAGAAGAAGTTAAGGCAAAAATAAGAAACTAGGCCTACACTATTAGGCTACGCTTTCAATAATACAATTCCCAATTTAAGGTGAGAGCTCACAAACCATCACACAGTAGCATGTAGTTGAACCCATGTTCACTAATAAACAAAATGTGGAAAACTAAATGTACTACTATTCATAATTTCCTTATGCAGAAGTGCTTCCATCTTGTGGCACAACCAGTGCCCTGCAGGCTGGTGCTCCTGCCTTGGATCTGTCTAATATGATGTCATGATGTCTCCAACAGTAGTGATGAAGTAGATTTATCATATAATTGAAAGGAATAATTACCAAAATATCAAGACAAACATTATTGATAACTTAGTAGTTAAATTCACATTCACAAAGCCCTTGGAGAAAGTTTTTATAAATGTTGTAATTACAAAAATTTTACATGACACACTCCATGTAAATGGAAAAAGTATTCTAGTTGAAAACAGCATATACCAACATAAATTAGTTTTTGTTTAACAAAGCAAAAAGTGTCTGTTTTAGGTATAATTTTCACAGGTTACTGTAGAAATGTTAAAAACTCTTCAGTGCTCATGTCTCTTGTAGGACAACAATGTCAGCCCAAATAAGACATGCAGTATCCTGCATACTGTCATTGAACTAAATTCACAGCTACATAAAAGTGTCCTATAACAGTTTCATACAGGAAGTATTTCCTCTGAGATGTCCGTGTCTGACAGACATCAACTGAGCAGGAGGTATTTTCCCAAAAGCGTAGGGGTCATTTTGTTGGAGACATACAGTACAGTCCTTGTTTTTAGATTAAGTTCCTGCATCACAAGAGCCAGTGTGGAGCCGCAGCGCCCCCTGTCTGTGGAGTGAACTCAGGGTCCTGAACTCCAGTGGCATAGTGTGTGGACTGGCATGGGACGTGTACGTGTAGGTCAGAGTATCATAGTAGTGGTACTTCACTGGTTTCCCCTGTGAATCCTGAGGGAAAGGCCAGAAACCGTACAGGTGGATCTCCTCACAGAAGCGAGTGGCCATGGTGTACATCAGCAGACCAGTGGTGGGTCTCTTGATCTGGACGTTGTTGGTCAGCCAATACCTAAAGAATGGAGCAAGAGAGAGTTATATAACCTAGGTAAAGGTATTTAAAGGCACTGAAGAGTCACCTGACATCTGAAAAAAATACCTGAGAGGAAATCTTTGGAATGTTTGTTTTAGGCTAGAGCTATTTCTTCTCAGTGTTCAATATTTTCCTTCGTATCTGGAAAAAAAATCTACAGAACCTATGGAACTAGTGGACACTTGCACACACGCCAAGGTCCTATGACAGATAACACATAGCAGGAATACAATAGTATTAAAGACTGTCAAAGTCTGGTAGACTTTATCCCTGATAAAGAGGATGAGTGCATTGAAGCCAATATCCATTAGAAAGCACTGAACCCTCTGTATTCTTAGCACTTCAATGGCAGTCCACTCACCCTTGAATAAGCCCCTACAATAAGCACGCTTTCTCTCTCTATGTGGTGGCTTTCACTCAGATCTCTGGGTGGATGTATGCTGAGGCGCCAGTGGGCTCGAGTAGAGGAACTGAATTGTAATAAGACTGAGGGGTCTGGGGCCTGCAGTCACAAAGCAAGCCCCATCTGGTCCTCTCACTCACAGACCCCCAGCCCAGCACAGCACAGCACAGCCCAGCCCAGCCCAGTATGGCCTACCTTGACCTCTAGATACTCAGAGAGGAGCCCAGTGACCTAGCAGTGGACTAGGACTAGTAGGAGGTCAATGGTGGATCTATTTAAAGGGCATCTAGTACTCAGAGAAGCAGAAGCCCAGGGGAAAGTATTCAGTTTGGCATTTATCAAGCACCACTGTAGCTAAAGGTCATAGACATGCACTGCATTTCTATGAGCATTTTCCCTGCATTTCAAGTCATTTATTGCCCTTTCAGAGAAGATTCCAGGCTTTTTGTAGAAATACAGTACAAAAAATATCAGTACTGCTGGCTAACTGTCCTCCTTCTGCAAATTCAACAGCTGGCAGAGAGGCCAGCAGCAGTAAGTTAGTCACCAACGGCCTGTTGAGTAGCTCTAATACTCCCTTTAGAAATAGCAGGGGATCTGTGAACTGCTGCTTAATTTGTGCCTTCCAGGCCCTGGATTGTGGAGCTCACAGGTGTACAGACAGACTACGAGCTGCAGTGTAACAAAGAGCCCTCTTACCCTCTGACAGCATGGAGAAGGCGCAGTGAGGGGAAGGCGGTGTGCACATCCACTGTGTGCAGCAGGATGAGACGGATGGCCCACTCCACCCTCTCCTCCCCTCCCTTGGCCATGAAGGCTGGGATCCACAGTACGCTGCCGCTGAGGCCCCGGAGCCGCTGCAGGAAGCGCTCCCTCCACTCCTCGCTGGCCAGGTCCTGGAAGGCCCGCTGCACCACAGATGGGTTCATGGTCACCAGGTTGGTGCGCCGGCCCACGTCCCCAGCATACTCCTCCACTGGCGCCAGGTTACATCTGCAAAGATACATTTATCTAAATTACTCTAATATCATATAGTCCATTTGATTAGTCTTTCACAAATATTAAGGTCAAACCACAGAACTCATAAATTGGCCCAATCCTACTGTCGTCCATAAAGATTTGTAAACTCCACATACATTAATTTAGGTAGCTCTGACATTGTTCAACATGCATTAAGCACATACTCAGTCAGCTAAGAATAACCCTATACCAAACACACCTAGCTCATGGGTGCACTGCAACTCAAAACCCTAATGAATGTATTCCATGTGTCATCCTGCTATGTGTTGGTATGGTGTCCAAAGAAGGTTACTTGACTGACCTCAGTAAAAGTGATTACTATACAGTACCAATGCACAGAGAGATAATGATCAAAGAGGACATAAAATGTCCTGTATCTATTAAAAAATGTGTGGCTGTGTGAGAGCCAGAGTCAGGTTTAACTGAGCACTGCTGTGAGCAGAGGCATTATCTCCCTACCTGAATACCTCAGCAAATCCCTCATCACTCCCTCCCAGCTAACTGCCCCTGCTAAGCCATGTCTTTCTCTGCCAACCCATCCTGACCTGTCTTGCCATTGCCCTGTTGATCTGACACTCCAGCAGCAGGGGGGTTGGGGATTTACTCTTCCACCATGGAGGCATACAGTATGGCTCTGCATATCCAGACGGTAGATCAAGTTACACAAGGAGGATGGGGAAAAACACCATCCCAAGGTAATGAGGGACTTCAAATATCCCAATCTCATTACAGCAGTACAAATGTATCATCGAAAATCTACTGCCTTGCTACAGTATGGCAATTATTGTACAGGAATCAAAAGATACGAGATATACTATGATTCCACTTCCAAACGATCTGTGAAATAATGATATGGTTTCGCATATTTCCCAATTCCCATTAGTTCAGATACCTCTCTGCATCATTGATTTATGTCACGTGTCAAACTCATTCCACAACTGGGCCGAGTGTCTGCGGGTTTTCGCTCCTCCCTTGTACTTGATTGATTAATTAAGGTCAATAATTAGTAAGGAACTCCCTTCACCTGGTTGTCTAGGTCTTAATTGAAATGAAAAACCTAAAACCAGCAGACACTAGGCCCTCCATGGAATGAGTTTGACACCCCTGATTTATGTGCTCTACCTTCTCATTACCCATACTCATGATGCAGTGGAGGCTCCTCAGAGGAGGAAAGGGAGGACCATCCTCCTCAGTGAATTTTTTTATATTTTTTTATAGTGAAACATTAAAAAATATCATTTAAAAAACAATATGAAATATATTCACGTCACCATATAATTGATTAAAACACACTGTTTTGCAATGAAGGTGTACAGTAGCCTCAGCAGCACTCTGTAGGGTAGCACCATGGTGTAGCCGGTGGACAGATAGCTCCTGTCCTCCTCTGGGTACATTGACTTCAATACAAAACCTAGGAGGCTCATGGTTCTCACCCCCTTCCATAGACTTACACAGTAATTATGACAACTTCCGGAGGAATTGACATGTTGTCCACCCACTCAAATGATCAGAGAATTAATCTAGTACTGAAAGCATAAGCTACAGCTAGCTAGCACTGCAGTGCATAAAATGGTGAGTAGTTGACTCAAAGAGAGAGAAAAACAATAGTAGAACAGTTTTTAACAAATTAATTTCTTCCAAAATTAAGGAGTAGCAAGAGAGAGAGATAGAGAGAAAGAGAGAGAGATATAGAGAGAGAGAGAGAGAGAGAGAGAGAGAGAGAGAGAGAGAGAGAGAGAGAGAGAGAGAGAGAGAGAGAGAGAGAGAGAGAGAGAGAAAGAGAGAGAGAGAGAGAGCTAGCTAGCTATATTTGGTTGTATTTTCTTAAATTTTCACTTTCACTTAGCTAGTGAATGCAGCTAACTAGTGTAGCCTACTCAAACACCCGGCTCAAACAGAGAGGGATGCTGTATTAGCTAGCTGGTTATGGCTATCCAAGTCAAGGTTGGCTTTTGATTTGATTAATTTATTGTCACCGGGGCCCGCCGGTGTAATTGCTAAACTGCTTTCTGACTGTACACTGTACTGCATGATTGTAGTGGGTTTACTAACGCATTTGTTATAGTATGTTCACTTTGATGTGACTACAATGTAGGCTGTGTGTAGCGATTAGCGGTCATGATATGAAGGTTTGGCTTCAAAATGCTTCTTTGCCTGGTCACAGAAAGCTGATGTGTTGTGCACTGAAGTCCACAAGCAAATGGAAAAGGTGAGAGGAGAGCGCGTAGATAGTTGCGAGAAGGAATTATATATACAAAGAGCAGTGATCATGCTGTTTTTATGTGGCTGCTATGAAAGTGAACTGTGTTTGCTTGTGATCAGGGGTGTATTCATTCTGCCGATTCTGTTGAAAAACGCTTCTTAAATGGAAGCAAATGGAACAAAATGGGGATAAACATAAATTTGTCCAATAGAAACTCTAATTTGCAACTGTTGGACTTATGATTACACCCTAGATCAGCTAGATGCAGGAAAGAGTGTGCAAGGCAGTATTGAATGTATCACAGTCTGTCACCTTGATTACTTAAAATTATCTCGACCTGTGCACCTACGTTGTAAACTTTCATTCATAGGCTAGGTTGTAGCAACCTCATGATGGGTACAGGGAAAATTGGAGTATCACGTAGTAGCCTAAACCTTTCGATGTTAGATTGAGCTGGGTGAATGGGATATGAATGACAGTCATCCAATATGCTGTAATAGAAATAAGGCCATGGTCTTAATTTTTTTAAATCATCCTCCCTCATTTCAAACACAGTTAGGCAACCTTGGATTTCTTCCACCATAACATCTGTAGTTGTAACATTGCTATGCATAGCTGTACTTTCTCTGTTGCTATACTGACAGACAAAGCAGTGATATAGCAATAAATAACCCACTCACAGAAAGCCGTTTGCTGACACACTAGCACAGAGCAGCATTGACGGATGGTTGCAGATAGACATTCTCCCCTGGTAAATGAGTGTAGCAGTCCTAGGAATAAACGGCAGTGCTTCTCTAAAGCACCTCATTAGATTTCGGGTGGATAGCAGTAGCTTTTGAAAATGTCACATTTACCCAGCAGGTATTTAATTGCTGTAAGTATTGCTGTTCATTTCTAAAAGTAGCAGGCATTTCAAAGGTGTGGAGAATATGTGTTCTAGTGCAGTGGCATTGATTCATCAAGGTAAAGTATTTGTGAAATCTAAGGGACTGTGCTTACATAAAGGTTATGAGTATAAAGATGTATAGTGCTTTTATACATTCCTATCCTGAATATTCCACTGCAAATTTTGTGATAAATTAACTCATAATTAACTTTTATACACAGCAAATTGGCCCGTGTTCCCTAGTGTTGATTTTTCAGTGTAACATTTCTAGTGTTGATTCAGGTGTTAAATTAAGTTAAGACTCATTCATGTAAAAGAATCCCAGTGTTGATGTTAATAACCAGTGTTAAACCAAAACCACGCCTATCATATTTACCAGAATGCTCTATTGCAGGTTGATTTTTAGAATTGTTTGTTTCAATATCTATGTTTTTGCATGTACATTGATTGATTAATTAATCTTATCCCTCTCAAATATAAATAACATACATTTTTCTAAACAAATCCCCCCCCCCCAGTTTTATCATTGGAATGTGATACAAAACGAGGCAACGGTGTGCTTTAGGATCATGCGGACGCCTCCGAGCGGTCGGGTAGGCTGTTTGGAGTGTTTGTCCGACTTTCAAAAATAATATATATATATATATATATATATATATATATATATATATATATATATATATATATATATATATATATATATATATCATAATATTTATGTCCCCCCACTTCTAAAACCAAAGATCAGGGTTGGGTTATAAAGATATATCAGAAACTTTGAACATCCCACAGAGCACCATTAAATCCATTATTAAAAAATGGAAAGAATATGGCACCACAACAAACCTGCCAAGAGAGGGCCGCCCACCAAAACTCACGGACCAGGCAAGGAGGGCATTAATCAGAGAGGCAACAAAGAGACCAAAGATAACCCTGAAGGAGCTGCAAAGCTCCACAGCGGAGATTGGAGTATCAGTCCATAGGACCACTTTAAGCTGTACACTCCACAGAGCTGGGCTTTACGGAAGAGTGGCCAGAAAAAAGCCATTGCTTAAAGAAAAAAATAAGCAAACACGTTTGGTGTTCGCCAAAAGCCATGTGGGACACTCCCCAAACATATGGAATAAGTTACTCTGGTCAGATGAGACTAAAATTGAGCTTTTTGGCCATCAAGGAAAACGCTGTGTCTCGCGCAAACCCAACAGCTCTCATAACCCCGAGAACATCATCCCCACAGTGAAGCATGGTGGTGGCAGCATCATGCTGTGGAGATGTTTTTCATCGGCAGGGACTGGGAAACTGGTCAGAATTGAAGGAATGATGGATGGTGTTAAATACAGGGAAATTCTTGAGGGAAACCTGTTTCAGTCTTCCAGAGATTTGAGACTGGGACAGAGGTTCACCTTCCAGCAGGACAATGACCCTAAGCATACTGCTAAAGCAACACTCGAGTTGTTTAAGGGGAAACATTTAAATGTCTTGGAATGGCCTAGTCAAAGCCCAGACCTCAATCCAATTGAGAATCTGTGGTATGACTTAAAGATTGCTGTACACCAGCAGAACCCATCCAACTTGAAGGAGCTGGAGCAGTTATGCTTTGAAGAATGGGCAGAAATCCCAGTGGCTAGATGTGCCAAGCTTATAGAGACATACCCCAAGATACTTGCATTGTAATTGCTGCAAAAGGTGGCTCTACAAAGTATTAACTTTAGGGGGGTGAATAGTTATGCATGCACAAGTTTTCTGTTTTTTTGGGTCTTATTTCTTGTTTGTTTCACAATAAAAAGTATTTTGCATCTTCAAAGTGGTAGGCATGTTGTGTAAATCAAATGATACAAACCCCCCAAAAATCAATTTTAATTCCAGGTTGTAAGGCAACAAAATAGGAAAAATGCCAAGAGGGGTGAATACTTTCGCTTCTCAAGCCAGTTGATGTACCCTGTAGCTCAGTTGGTAGAGCATGGCGCTTGCAACGCCAGGGTTGTGGGTTAGTTTCCCACGGGGGGCCAATATGAAAATGTATGCACTCACTAACTGTAAGTCGCTCTGGATAAGAGTGTCTGCTAAATGACTAAAATGTAAATGTAAAATATATGGGTAAGATATTCTAGCAAGCTACATTTTCAGATATTACACGTTTCTAATTTTGACAGAAAGTGGTTTCATTTCAAGTTAAAGTGCACTGTTAGCTAGCTAACATTAGCTGGCTGGCTCACTAGCTAACGTTATGTGTATGATCTTATTATTTGTATCTCAGAGCCATTTGCTTTGCTAGTTATAGCCTAATGTTAGCTAGCTAACATTGAACATGGTTGGTTAGCTACCTGCAGATTCATGCAGGGTAGTAACGTCATGAGTTGGGATTATGGTTCATTGTTTACCTAGCTAGCTAGCTACATGTTTTAACAAAAGACTCCACTATACAAGTATCCATTTCAATAGAATGCCACTGCGACAACTGTTGATAGATGTAGCTGGTAAATTCGCTCTGGCTATCTACTCCAATTTCAGAGCATGGGTAAGATAGTCTAGCTAGCTACATTTTCAGATATTACACGTTTCTAATTTTGACAGAAAGTCGTTTTAATTTCAAGTTAAAGTGTACTGTTAGCTAGCTAGCTAACGTTAGCTGGCTAGCTTGCTAGCTAGTGTCATGGGTATGATTTTATTATTCGTACCTCAGAGCCATTTGCTTTGCTAGTTATAGCCTAATGTTAGCTAGCTAACATTGAATCTGGTTGGTTAACTACCTGCAGATTCATGCAGGGTAGTAACATCATGAGTTGGTATTATGCTTCATTGTTTACCTAGCTAGCTAGCTACATGTTTTAACCATAGACTCCACTATGCAAGATCCATTTCAATAGAATGCCACTGCGACAACTGTTGATAGATGTAGCTGGTAAATTCGCTCTGGCTATCTACTCCAATTTCAGAGCATGGGTAAGATAGTCTAGCTAGCTAAATTTTTTGATATTACACTTTTCTAATTTTGGCAAGGCTCTGTGGGAAATATGCAAATAATGCTTTACAGTAAGCAGTGTGTTAATTTAACACTGAAAAGTGAGGACCCATATAGACACTGGACTAGTGTTGAATTTAACACTGGAGGATGAAGGGGAGGAGACAGGTTAAAGAAGGATTTTTAAGCCTTAAGACAATTAAGACATGGATTGTGTGTGCCATTCAGAGGGTGAATGGGCAAGACAAAAGCTGTAAGTGCCTTTGAACGGGGTATGGTAGTAGGTGCCAGGCGTACTGGTTTGAGTGTGTCAAGAACTGCAACTCTGCTGGGGTTTTCACGCTCAACAGTTTCCTGTGTGTATCAAGAATGGTCCACCACCCAAAGGACATCCAGCCAACTTGACACAACTGTGGGAAGCATTGGAGTCAACATGGGCCAGAATCCCTGTGGAACGCTTTTGACACCTTGTAGAGTCCATGCCCCGAATAATTGAGGCTGTTCTGAGGGCAAAAGGTTTTGTTTTGTACACTCAGTGTATATAATGTAGGTATTCCTCTTGTCCAGATAGGATAGGGCAGTGTGCAGTGCAATGGTGATTGCGTTGTCCGTAGATCTGTTGGGCCGATATGGGAATTGTAGTGGGTCTAGGGTGTTGGGTAAGGTGGAGGTGATATGATCCTTAACAAGCCTCTCAAAGCACTTCATGATGATAGAAGTGAGTGCTCCAGGGTGATAGTCATTTAGTTCAGTTACCTTCGCTTTCTTGGGTACAGGAACAATGGTGAACATCTTGAAGCAAGTGGGGACAACAGACTGAGATATGGAGAGATTGAACATGTCCGTAAACACTCCAGCCAGCTGGTTTGTACATGCTCTGAGGACGCGGCTTGGGATACTGTCTGGGCCGGCAGCCTTGCGAGAGTTAACATGCTTAAATGACTTACTCACGTCGGCCACGGAGAACGAGAGCACACCTTACCTGATAACAAAGTCATAGGAGTCTATCTCTGGCCCACAGCTGCTGTTGAGTAGGATCCCAGAGTTCCCTACGATGGCACAGTGCCTGTGGTGCTGGTTCTTCATGGGGGACACAGTGGGCAGCAACCGGTACAGGTTCTCTGAGATGTTGGTAGTGCTCTGACGGTCAAAGATGTAGTGGATGACATCTCCAGGTTTCAATGTGCCCTTCAGAATAGAGATGTCCCTCTCTGGGTCGAAGAACCTCAGGATGTTCTTCCTATAGAAGAAAATAAGTTATCCATGAGGGAATACCTAGCTTAGAGGAGTGTGAGACCTGATGGAAACCAATGCAGAGGTAGGCCTACCTGATGAGGTTGGAGAGGCTCCTGTTGAACGTCCAGTTATCTGAAGAGAGCTTGGTGGTATTATTTGAGTATGAAGGAGAAGCAGGGCTCTTGTCCTCCCCTTCACTGACTAATGGTTTAGGATTGGCCTTCACTGCTACATTTCTATGACAGGACAGAGAGGCATCCATCCTAAATTAAAGGCAACATGACTTTGATACATGTGATATAAGAATGAATGTCAACACTTAAAAAAGCAGTGTGACTGAACAACCATGTCCTCTGTGTAAAGCCATCCAATGTGTAATGAAAGCCCTATAGTCCATTTCATTACATCATTAATTAGACTTATTTTCTATCATTTTTAAACTGAACAAAAATATAAACACAACATGTAAAGTGTTGGTCCCATGTTTCATGAGCTGAAATAAAGATCCCAGAAATGTTCCATAAGCACAAAAAGCTTATTTATCTCAAATGTTGTGCACAAATTCGTTTACATCCCTGTTAGTGAACATTTCTCCATTGCCAAGATAATTCATCCACCTGACAGTTGTGGCATATCAAGAAGCTGATTAAACAGCATGATCATTACACAGGTGCACCTTGTGCTGGGGACAATAAAAGGCCACTCTAAAATGTGCAGTTTTGTCACACAACACAATGCCACAGATGTCTCAAGTTTTTAGGGAGTATGCAATTGGCATGCTGACTGCAGGAATGTCCACCTGAGCTGTTGCCAGAGAATGTAATGTTCATTTCTTACCATAAGCCGCCTCCAACGTCATTTTAGAGAATTTGGCAGTACGTCCAACTGGCCTCACAACTGCATACCACGTGTATGGCATCGTGTGGGTGAGTGGTTTGCTGATGTCAACGTTGTGAACAGAGTGCCCCATGGTGGCGGTGGGGTTATGGTATGGGCAGGCATAAGCTACGGACAACGAACACAATTGCATTTTATCAATGGCAATTTGAATGTAGAGAGATACCGTGACGAGATCCTGAGGCCCATTGTCGTGCCATTCATCTGCCACCATCACCTCATGTTTCAGCATGATAATGCACAGCCCCATGTCACAAGGATCTGTACACAATTCCTGGAAGCTGAAAATGTCTCAGTTCTTCCATGGCCTGCATACTCACCAGACATGTCACCCATTGAGCATGTTTGGGATAATCTGGATCGACGTGTACAACAGCATGTCCCAGTTCCTGCCAATATCTGAAATGGGTTTCCATGGCCGAGCAACCGCACACAAGCCTAAGATCACCATGCGCAATGCCCAGCGTTGGCTGGAGTGGCCATTGGACTCTAGAGCAGTCAAACCACGTTATCTGGAGTGGTGAATCACGCTTCACCATCTGGCAGTCCAACGGATGAATCTGGGTTTGGCGGATGCCAGGAGAACGATACCTGCCCGAATGCATAATGCCAACTGTAAAGTTTGGTGGAGGAGGAATAATGGTCTGGGGCTATTTTTCATGGTTCAAGCTAGGCCCCTTAGTTACAGTGAAGGGAAGTCTTAACGCTACAGCATACAATGTCATTCTAGACGATTCTGTGCTTCCAACTTTGTGGCAACAGTTTGGGGGAGGCCCTTTCCTGTTTCAGCATGTCAATGCCCCCGTGCACAAAGCGAGGTCCATACAGAAATGGTTTGTCGAGATCGGTGTGAAAGAACTTGATTGGCCTGCACATAGCCCTGACCTCAACCCCGAATTAGAACTCTGACTGCGAGCAAGGCTTAATCGCCCAACATCAGTGCCCGACCTCACTAATGCTCTTGTGGCTGAATGGAAGCAAGTCCCCGCAGCAATGTTCCAACATCTAGTGGAAAGCCTTCCCAGAAGAGTGAAGGCTGTTATAGTAGCAAAGGGGGGGACCAACTCCATATTAATGCCCATGAATTTGGAATGAGATGTTCGATGAGCAGGTGTCTACTTACTTTTGGTCATGTAGTGTATCTGTGACCAACAGATGTATATCTGTATTCCCAGTCATGTGAAATACATAGATTAGGGCCTTATGAATTTATTTCAATTGACTGATTTCCTTATATGAACTAACTGAAATTGTTGCATGTTGCGTTTATATTTTTGTTCAGTATACATCAGAGATTGTACATTAATTGTGTGATTTATCAATTATTTCAAATAGATACACACAATTCTGTAATCCATGCACCTTTCCCAAATCTCATAGGTCTTACATGTTTCTATGGAAACAAGCAATTTAATGTTTTTTATTCAGGTTCTTTCTCTTGCTTTAGGCCAAAACCCAATCATAGGGTAATGAGATTGCTGATATGTTCATGTGTATTAAGTCTGTTCATTATTTTACATGTCTGCAAGCATATGAGCTCTGATAGATAGCAAATAAAAGGCTAGAATAACTGAATTGATGAGTATTACAAAACCTGAAGGCAATGGAAGAAGGGGCAGACCAGCCTGACAAACCTGTTGGGCTTGGGAATGAGGCTGTGCATGTACAATTTTCTGGAACCTCCAATATTCCTAGACCAAGAAAAAAGTAATTATAGCCACCATCAGAATAATTCATAATATTGTTTGTATGTGTAAGTTTTGTATTGCTTAAAAAATATTTTAAAAACTGTACAAAAAATAATATTTTATAATATTCTTGTCAGATGAATGGAATTGTGCAGAACATGAAAAGTGAGGGCAAGAGGTGGTTTAATCAAATTCCAGGCATCACATATATAACTCAAGCTGTCAGAATATGGTATATGGCTACGCTCTTAATGTGTATTTAGATGAGCAGTAGGCTCATCACGTTGACGTGAACATGAAGGACAAGAGCATGCATCAAAACGTAGTCAGACCGTGAAACAGAACAGCCATTACATTGATATAACGCTCGAAAAATGTGCGCTGAAGGCCATGCTTGTCATTAAAGAGGCATGTAAGCCAATGTGTCATATGATCCCTGGTAGGGAAAAAACAGGACATGCCAACTGATCTACCAATCTGACTGTTACCGGTGCTTGTGAATCTGGATAAAAAGGTGTAGTTGGTCAACATCCTCTACAAATCCTGTATAGAGTAACCTGAATGGTATATAATCTGTACACTATGAGTAGCATGGACTACTGTTCAAGATATACAACATTAGATACATCATCATTGCCTTTTATGACCACAATCTCAATGTAATAAAGAAAAGACAGAAAAATCTCATTACATATCTGTTTCAAAAACCCAACTCTCACGGGGTGTGTAAAACTATAAAGCTCCAGAAAATCAATTAGAGCAAGCACACAGTACCATAATACTACGGCTCCATTATTTGGAAGGTGCAAATGGAGAGTGAAAATCCCAATTAGGTATGTGCAATTGCATCTTGTGTCAGATATTACAGAGGCAAGGACAATCACTAATATACCAGGCAGCAGAACAGGAGCCAAGAGCATTCAATCTGCTGAAATGATGGTGACAGCTGTGATAGCTGTGCTATCCAGGGAGCAACACAGCTATTCTATTGTTCTTGGAGTGGAGATATGTACTAATATAGGCAAGCTCCTTCATGAAACATTTGTAATTCATAGGTTATTACAATGTAATTACCATATAAACATGATTATTTTTGAGTAATTACCACCATCATTTCGTTAATAAGTACCTGGTCATTTCTGTACCGTAAGACAAAGTGCTACAGTACCAACTGTTCCAGCTGCTTAACATTTACAGCTATAAGAATCTTGAGACTTGTGCTATCATTCTCTCCAGCCCCAGAAGTCTCCAAGGCAGAACTGTTTGCAGCGCATGTATCTTCCAAGCTTCAAGAGTTGTATTTGTGTAATAGAGGATTTCTGCTGCAGGGCTCAATTATGTCTGGAGAAAGGCAAACTGTTTCTTCTGTCACTAGTCTGTTGCTCTCTCAGTAGCAAATCAAACAGTAATCTCCTATCCACACAGCCACCCACCAAACAGCCCTCTACCATGACATGACTGGAGCTGGAGTGCAAACAGGATACACTGAAGTGTGGAACAAAACCACCAAGCGCATGCCATTTTTCATGAAGCCCTGGGGTGCCTCAGCTCAGCCTGATGATGCTATTGATTCAAGGTTTGATGTGGAAAGAAACAGGGCTTCCAATTATTGTACTGGTTCCTTTTGATACAGTGGTCTGTTCTATTGTGTTAGTACCTCTTCTAAAACCGTGACTATACACACTGTTTTTATTATGAAAATGCAATAGAATTAGAGCAAAATCCAGTTGACACAGCTGTTAAAGAGTACAGTATTCTTCACTGAAGAGAGCTAACAGTGTAGAGTTACAACTGAAACGAAGCCAAGGCTAGGTCCAAAAGGCTCCTCAACAGCTTCTACCCCCAAACTATAAGACTGCTGAACAATTAATGAAATGGCTACCCGGATTATTTACATTGACCCCCTCCCCCCCTTTTGTTTTTACACTGCTGCTACCCACTGTTTATTATCTATGCATAGTCACTTTACCCCTACCTACATGTACAAATTACCTCGACTAACCTGTACGCCTGCATATTGACTCGGTACCGGTACCCCCTGTATATAGCCTCGTTATTGTTATGTAATTTTAATGTGTTACTTTTTATTTTATTTTATTTTTTACTTTAGTTTATTTAGTAAATATTTTCTTAACTCTATTTCTTGAACTGCATTGTTGGTTAAGGGCTTGTAAGTAAGCATTTCAGGATAAGGTCTACACCTGTAGTTTTCGGCGCATGTGACAAATAACATTTGATTTGATTTGAAACTATCTGATTACCAGTACATTGTCCCCCTACATGGAACACAAGAGTTCTACCTGGAACCAAAAGGGTTCTACCTGGAACCAAAAAGGGTTCTTCAAAGGGTTATCCTATGGGGACAGCCGAAGAACCCTTTTAGGTTCTAGATTGCACCTTTTTTTCTAAGAGTGTAGATGTACAGTAAAGGAATAGGAGTAGAACGAATGAATAAATGCACAGGGGTTTGTAACCTTGAAATGGACAAAACATGTATTCAGCCTACATACATCCTACTGGAGAAATGTAAGAGTGCTCAACATCTTCTAAAGTTCTAAACTGAATGAGTGAAGATAACGCAGAATCTAACAATTTTAACATGAACATAAGATAATTATATTTATTTGAGTAATGCATTTTCACAACTAGATAACACGTAAAACAAAATGGATGAACAAATCGAATCAGAAACCCCCGCTCTACTTACGCAATTTCTTCTTCGACTTCAGCAATATCAGCAATGATCAGAAATATTACCAGCACTGTTACAATTCCAAACATCAATGTTCGGAATTCTAACTGCATGACTGAGAAGGTTGCAGAACTAATCGAAGCTACACTCAAAAATCCAAATCGATTGAATATATGATCCTTTTAATCACTGACATTGATAGATAGTACGCAATTAAACTCAAATATGTCAACCAATATTCTTCAATGTTCATTTTAAACGAAGACCATTTGTCTAGTAACAAATTCCAGGTTCATGTCCTTTTATAACGTTTTCTTCTCTCTCCCTTTTTTCCCCAAAAGCAGCGGCACTGTTTTCATTCTCACCTCCATTCCCCCAGTCAAACTTTCAAAGCTTGTGCTTGAAACTACATTGGGATTGAAATCCGAGCAATTTGGAAAATACTTCAAGCTTAAAGGTACAGCACGCTTTATGGCTTTCTACAGTAGGGTAGGCTATAGCTGCTCTTGGAGGCTTAGGCTGCTATAATTGGCTACTATCTATTACCTTTGTCTGATCGTCATTGAATTGGGATTGACTATTGTTGCAGGACTGAAAACCAGGTTCAAGGGACCACCTGGCATTATTAGGCTACCATATGTCATCAAATTAATATGAATTGTCTATATTTAACCATTCATCATATAAATAGCATAGACACAGAATCATATAATCTGTCATTGCTGCCTTTGTGAGGTTAGGTTTGTTGAGATAATGTTTTAAAAAACAAATGTTGTATCATAAAGATGTTTATTGGGTAGCATTCTGGTGTCAGCATATCATAAATTATCCTTTGTATAGCTGGTTGTCCTTTCTGAGTCTGATTACTCTCCTCGCTCCAATGCAAAACCTTTCAGCTTTCAACTTAATGGTTGTCATGTCTTATTTATAGGCATGTTGAGTCAGTGAAAATTTAGTTTGTCAGGCAGATGGATGGGTGAGTGATTGAAGACCTAAGAGAGGAATTAACTAGCGCCAGTTCTCAGTTAAAAAACATTTACATATACTGTACATTTTGTCACTTTATTGGCTCATCATACTGGTACACTGGTACATATACCAATGGTGCTCTTTCAGCACAGCATTCCAATAAATCTGTCTAGTGACATTGGAAATGGATTGCTCCATTAAACCTTTTAAGGATTTTGTTGCATGGAGTGTCATGGGTTGTGTGTGGTAGTGGTACTGAGGTAAATGCATATGATTTTTCTTCAACTGTGAATCAGATCACATGTGCACATCCCACAAAGTATTTCTAAAAGACAGAAAAAGCTTCTCCAAACTATTCTCCCTTTTCAGCATTTTGATATCAGCAGACAGGCTGTCAATACTGCACCACCTCAGTTTCTCTGACAGGTTTTGCTTCAAGTCCACCACTTTGAACACAAACAATATAAGATATTCGAACCGGGGGACTACAAAAATGTTATCTGTTGTCTGTTATGCAGTGGGAATAACAACACTGACCTTGATTTAAAGTCAGTCATAAAATAAAATACCCATCTCCATATATTTATATTTCAAGATTATTTTTACATGGCTGCACAAACCGTCTCCCTGTCCACTGCACTGTCCACTCAGTAGTGCTGTATTTCGGCCTCAGCTGAGCTCCTTTAAACACATAGATTTTCCTTTGTACTTGCTAATTTTGCAATTTGTTTGCCATGTGTCCTTGATAAAAATAGCCTTTATTCCAATGCATTAGATTTATCTGTTGATTTATCATTGTTTGCTTTTGTCAGTCAGCTGCATCTCAACACAGTCAGATATTGTTCACAGCAGTGGCGTGTATTCATGGATGCCAAGGGAAGCCAGGCTTCCCCAAAAAAATCAACCAAAAAATAGTAATAACATTAAACAATTGATCTTTCTCTCTGTGTTTCATAATTTTTCTTCAATTCACAAGAGGCTGAATGTATCTCACAGGAGAAACCATCCGAGCAAGCGAAACAGCGCCCCTCTGTCTCTCTACGTGTAGGCCAGGGTTCTTCAATTCCGGTCCTGGAGGGCCGAAACACCTCTGTTTTTCATCCTCTCCTTCTAATCAGGGGCTAATTCAGACCTGGGACACCAGGTGAGTGCAATTAACTACCAGGTAGAAATAAAAAACAGAAGTGTTTCGGCCCTGCAGGACCGGAATTGAAGAACCCTGGTGTAGGCCATCTATCTGATGCTGTCTGGTCCAAACAAGATTGACATTGTTGCCACCCGTAGCATTGAAGGCAAGGGAAGCCAGCGAGCATTTGTCCTCCTTTGACAAAAAAAGTATAAAAAATTAGCCAATCTGCGTTGAGCTAAACTGAGCGAGCTCAACAGTGAATGGTCCTGGTGCACCCAAAACAGTGTCAAGGGAAGCCAGCTTGGATTTGGCATCACTCCTATCAAAACCTATTGAAGCATATGTCATTGACAGAAGAACTTGAATTGTTGCATTTCGTGGTCTTGTTGTCCTCCAGTGGCTAGCTAGCCAGCTAGCTAAAATTGTCCCTTTCCTAAATTAGCCATGGATGGAAATAGGGATTTAGACTTGTGGTTTTACTTAATTCTCTGTATTGGCCAATTATTATAACGCTGATTCTGACCCAACCATTAATTCATACATTGTTGTGCCCCTGGCCCGAAAGGATGGAAGTTCAATATGGAGAACAGAAAGAAAAAGCCATATCTCAGACTGCCCATCTTAGTCTTTTATTTTTATTGGCCAGTCTGAGATATGGCTTTTTCTTTGCAACTCTGCCTAGAAGGTCAGCATTCTGGAGTCACCTCTTCACTGTTGACATTGAGACTGGTGTTTTGCGGGTACTATTTAATGAAGCTGCCAGTTGAGGACCTTTTCCATTTCCAGCTACAATAGCCATTTACAACATTAACAATGTCTACACTGTATTTCTGATCAATTCTATGTTATCTTAATGGACCAAAAAATTGCTTTTCTTTCGAAAACAAGGATATTTCTAAGTGACTCCAAACTTTTGAACGGTAGTGTAGGTTGTAATATGGCATTTTATGTGGGGGGCTTGGCTTCCCCAGTGAATTTACCCACGCACTGATACTGGTTCACAGTATATTTTCTGGGCCATATCTCAGCTAAGCAAACCTCTCTGAATCAATCTGTGACCTCTACAGTAAGACAATTAACATCAACCTCTCGTTCTCCTCTAAATGTCACCCAGTCAAGCTCCATTGGGCTAGAATATTAATATTCCTTTGAATATGAATGCATGGATTTAAGTGTGATGCTAAAAATGGTAGTTCCATCTTACTTACAGTTTCAAACTGTCATGTTTTATGATGCTGTGTTTGATTCACAAGGTGAAGCATTCATTAGTTTGACAGCACCGGATGGGACGAACAAGCCTGGAGACAGGAGGCTTGTCATGCATGGATGTTACTTTCAGAATACGATTTTTTAAAAGAATGATAATTGCATTTGTAGGGCTTTGGTGTGATCAGCATTCTAAGTGTGATACATTTCGAGGAGTGTGTTTGTAATTGAGGTGCCTCTGATGCTGGAACCAATTGGCATACATGAGCATCTCTCCTTTGTTGAAGCGTCTCGCTGTGCTGTCTGACATGATGATGGCTAAAACCAACGGTGGAAGACAATGCTGGGAGAAATGGCACTAGGGCTTTAAAGGACTCCCAGGAAATCTTTTACATCAACAATGGGTTGGAATTAGCAAAAAGTAGATTTTTCTTAGATCAGCAATCAGTTGCTTTTAGCAGTGAACTCCAAGTTGAGAATATGATGATTGTTGTACAAGGTAATGCACTGTGAGTGCACTCCCATACCTCTTGACATTTGTCCTGTATGTTCAGAAATATTTTGAAGCTCTTACAAATGGTAATTACGGAGTGATATTTGATTACAAGAACACTTGTCATAACAGAAAATACTTGTCATATTAACAACATCATTAATTATTGTCATTATAAGATCAAAATATATGTTTTAAGATGTATTTATGTGTAGAAAATAATGGAAACCTACGCTTGGTAATATTGTAGTAATTGTTAGTATTTGAAGAATATCTTAAAGTTTAAATGGAATAGGTATTTTTTATTGTATATTTTTATGTGGGTTATGTTGGCGGTTTTCAATCATGAAAGACCTGGCACTGCTTTAATAGGCTAGACCTGAGGGATAGACTTCTGCTACATTACGAAGTTGCTAGTTTGATTGATAAAATAAATGCTATGTACTTTAACAAACCAGAGGCGCAGGTCTCTGGAGAAATCAGCTTCCGTGATGAATCCCCAAATGAATTATGTGCAGTGTGATACAATAGCCAGCCTGGCTGATGGATCACCACATGAAACAAAGCATAACAAATGCAGTGTAAACACACACACACACACACACACACATACTGTACAGATAAACAAAGCACAATTATTTGCCTTGTTTGATTTTGCAGCATCTTGAGACTGGTATTCAATTATTGCGTACTCAAATGGTTGGTGATTTATCACAGATTTCTTATGCTTTCCCTCTCCGTTTCCTGTGTTTCTCTCCTTAGAATAACATGTTTATTGCAGTGCTAGTGCTGTCAACTATGTGTGTATTGTTATATTAATCTTTTTATTCAACTCTCTGTTGCAAAAACTGTCACTCTCATAAATTCCTGTCATCCCTATCAATGACAAACAAGACCCAGAAAAAAATAGGGTTACGGTCAGACTGCAATACACAGATAAGTATTGAACACAACACTGTTACCATTAAATATGTGCCAGCATTGGTTTCAGCCATTTGTCATTGGTTTTAAACACATACAAATGTGCTTTGGGATAAGATTGCGCGTCGCCTTGTAAGAATCGACAGCAGGGAATGGGTCTTTTGTCCTGCGTTTTCTCTCGGATGTAAACCATTGGCTTTGTACCACAGTAAACAACTGCATGCAATCAAGGATGTAATCAAGGATTACAATGGACATCCAACGCTGTGAACATCCAACACCCTGGAATAATATGGTCTCTGAGAAATTGACTATAAAACAGAAAGCAACATCAAACACATCCCATAATGTTGCAATCTTTAAAATGTTATATGACTTCCTTGGTTGTTCTTTTTATTATCAAGGGCTATCAAAGAACAAGTATCAACATGCACACAGTGAAATTGTGAGCCCATTTTGTAGCACAATGTTTTTCTACTTTAATTAAGAGATAGAGGTAGAATACTGCCCACACGGGAAGAATGGAAAGCCTCCAACTAAAACGTAGAGGGATGTAAAGACTGTTTCTCTTGTTTCCTCCAGCCAGTGGAGTGGAGAGGAAAGGCATGTGGGCTGATAGTTCCTGTCTGTGTCTGTGATACTGTATAGCCAAACACTTTGAAGGCTGGTGTACTGACCTCCCGAGTGGCCACTAGAGATCCTGGTTCGAATCCAGGCTCTGTCGTAAGCCGGCCGCGACCGGGAGACCCATGGGGCGGCGCATAATTGGCCCTGCGTCGTCCAGGGTAGGGGAGGGAATGGCCGGCAGGGATGCTCAATTGGTAGAGCATGGCGTTTGCAACGTCAGGGTTGTGGGTTCATTTCCCACGGGGGGTCAGTATGAAAAATACAATGATGTATGCACTCACTAACTGTAAGTCGCTCTGGATAAGAGCGTCTGCTAAATGGCTAAAGTAAAAATGTGATGATTAGCTCTAGGCCTCCTCTTAAAACCCTGCCTTGCACTCTTTTCCCCTCCACCAGTGTTAACTCAGTTCATCTGGCATGGCTCAAAAGAGAATCTAAGCCATATCAATATAGCTGTGTTTTGACAGGCAGCCCAATTCTGATCATTTTTTCACTAATTGGTCTTTTGACCAATCAGATCAGCTCTGAAAGAGTGATTGGTCAAAATACCAATTAGTGGAAAAAATATCAGAATTGGACTGCCTGTCTAAACAGCAGACCAGATAAATGCACTGCACATTTTCAAAAGACACTCAGCAAGTACAAAGTACCAACATATGCTCTGGGAAAGCTATTTTAAACACTAAAACATTTGGTAATCATGGTGCTGTTGAACATTATGAATCAGGCGTGTCTATGCGATGAGCTCTTTTACAGCATCTGGATAAATCAGCACAGATAGCTAATAGTGACATAAAATTCTGACTGAAACCGATATCAAGTATTGCTCAATAATTTTAGGACATCAGTATACGTATAGAGGACTGATTGAGTGCTTTAGACACATATCAAATAGAGGTAATTCATTTATCTGCCTACACGTAAACTCCTTATATCAGTATATACAGTTGAAGTCGGAAGTTTACATACACCTTAGCCAAATACATTTAAACTCAGTTTTTCACAATTCCTGACATTTAATCCTAGTAAAAATTCCCTGTCTTAGGTCAGTTAGGATCATCACTTTATTTTAAGAATGTGAAATGTCAGAATAATAGTAGAGAAAATGATTTATTTCAGCTTTTATTTATTTCATCACGTTCCCAGTGGGTCAGAAGTTTACATACACTCAATTAGTATTTGGTTGCATTCCGTTTAAATTGTTTAACATGGGTCAAACGTTTCGGGTAGCCTTCCACAAGCTTCCCACAATAAGTTGGGTGAATTTTGGCCCATTCCTCCTGACAGAGCTGGTGTAACTGAGTCAGGTTTGTAGGCCTCCTTGCTTGCACACGCCTTTTCAGTTCTGCCCACACATTTTCTATAGGATTGAGGTCAGGGCTTTGTGATGGCCACTCCAATACCTTGACTTTGTTGTCCTTAAGCAAGCCATTTTGCCACAACTTTGGAAGTATGCTTGGGGTCATTGTCCATTTGGAAGACCCATTTGCGACCAAGCTTTAACTTCCTGACTGATGTCTTGAGATGTTGCTTCAATATATCCACATAATTTTCCTTCCTCATGATGCCATCTATTTTGTGAAGTGCACCAGTCCCTCCTGCAGCAAAGCACCCCCACAGCATGATGCTGCCATCCCCGTGCTTCACGGTTGGGATGGTGTTCTTCGGCTTGCAAGCATTGCCCTTTTTCCTCCAAACATAACGACGGTCATTATGGCCAAACAGTTCTATTTTTGTTTAATCAGACCAGAGGACATTTCTCCAAAAAGTACGATCTTTGTCCCCACGTGCAGTTGCAAACCGTAGTCTGGCTTTTTTATGGCGGTTTTGGAGCAGTGGTTTCTTCCTTGCTGAGCGGCCTTTCAGGTTATGTCGATATAGGACTTGTTTTACTGTGGATATAGATACTTTTGTACCTGTTTCCTCCAGCATCTTCACAAGGTCCTTTGCTGTTGTTCTGGGATTGATTTGAACTTTTCACACCACAGTACGTTAATCTCTAGGAGACAGAACGCGTCTCCTTCCTGAGCGGTATGACGGCTGCGTGGTCCCATGGTGTTTATACTTGCGTACTATTGTTTGTACAGATGAACGTGGTACCTTCAGGCGTTTGGAAATTGCTCCCAAGGATGAACCAGACTTGTCTACAATTTTCTTTCTGAGGTCTTGGCTGATTTCTTTTGATTTTCCCATGATGTCAAGCATAGAGGCACTGAGTTTGAAGGTAGGCCTTGAAATACATCCACAGGTACACCTCCAATTGACTCAAATGATGTCAATTAGCCTATCAGAAGCTTCTAAAGCCATGACATCATTTTCTGGAATTTTCCAAGCTGTTTAAAGGCACAGTCAACTTAGTGTATGTAAACTTCTGACCCACTGGGATTGTGATACAGTGAATTATAAGTGAAATAATCTGTCTGTAAACAGTTGGAAAAATTACTTGTGTCATGCACAAATTAGATGTCCTAACTGACAAGAAATTTGTGGAGTGGTTGAAAAACGAGTTTTAATGACTCCAACCTAAGTGTATGTAAACTTCCGACTTAAACTGTATATTTTCTCTGTAAAGAACTAAAGTGAAAATGACACCATGTCTGGATTATTTTCTGAAAAATAATTTTATTTCCAGAGTAAAATAAATTATATCTTGCCATACAAAAAAGTGTAAGAAAAGGGACAATGCTAAAACTTTTGCTGTAGAGAAACTGTAAAAGAAGAAGTTAGATGTGCCATCAAGCCTTGAGGGTCTTCAAAAAAATATGTAAACGGATAACAAAATAAGAATGCCTATTACCTTGTTGTAGGATTATCAGCCATTGCATATAAATTACTCCCAGTACCTTTTGTGTGACTTCACATGCAGATTCTGCGTGCTCTGAAGTAACAAGCAGTGCTACTCTGCCCTATACAAAGCACTGGTTTAGTTTGCTTTGCTCTTTGTTTCGTATTCCTTTCTTGTTATGACATTGGCTCCCATCTTATGTGTAATGCATATCACAACTAAACATTTTTTAATAATTAAATCTCAAATTCCTATATTATCATCTCAGTTTAGTTCACTCTAATACAACATTCTGAACCTCACAAGTACAAATATATAAACTTTAATCTTCATTGTTTAGCTTGAAGAGATATGTCATTATAACACGCACAAAAATCCAATCTTCGCTTTTCTACTTATGGTGCAAAAGCCCCCTCAAAACATAAATGATATTCTTATCTGCATAATCCCTCATATTAAGACATATTAGGTTTTAATAAACTAAGCAAATAAAAAATGTAAATAGAAAAGCTAAGAAACTTGTACAACATTCAGAAATGAGTCTGCAAAAAGACAGATAGATCTCTTTCACAATGATAGAAATGGATATGAATAATATAACATTTGAACCCATAGAAAGACAACCTAAGTTCTATGTTTATAGTCAAACCCAGTGTCTGTGTCCCAGTAAGAGTGCTGGTTTTGTACAGTGTATGCTGACATCAACACCATCTCAGCTACTACCACTGAACTTCATTCTGACACTGAATGCATACAGTAACGTTAGACAATCGTCCTATACAGTACAAGCGCTCTACTTCCTCCACTATATAGTACATAAGACAGCTCTCTGTTCGTTTCATCGAAATAAAACTTAAATTACGCAACACAGAATGACACAATATCTCTTTATTTGTATATTCTAGGCAACGTGGAGAAACGTCCTATCATTTATACTTATATCTTGGTTCCATGATGGAAGGGAACGAAATGTAACACATAGTGAAACTGACCAAACAGGACCTGTCATTTTCACTGACTGGTCCATGTTTTACTCGAGCGAGTATGGAGCCTTTAACAGAAGCATAATATTGACCATCTAATCACCTAGGAGCAGGACAGAGCCAGACAGTAGTTGTATTCTACTAACAATCACAACAGATTTCACTGGTACTGGACTACAGCCTCGCTGATAACACCTCTACAATCAAAATGGCCTCTATCAAAAGTTACCAAGGATTTGGAGAAAAGAGCAGCAACAGTCTTCCAGGGCCTGTATAGGACTTCAAAACATTCTATTGTTTAATAAAAAAATTATAAAGGAGGATGATCGTCATTTATGATCTTTTTTAATTATAAATGGAGCAGATAGTCCTTTTGATGGTTCAGAAACTATAAAACCGACTCCATATTTTCGCACAACTCATGGTCCTCTAGGTTGTATATAAACGTTGTCCTGTTTGGGTTCTGACTCCCATCCTTCATGTTGTCCATCGTGAGACTGGAGGGGAACAGTTCGGTTGGTGTCGTATAGCCCTCATGATTTTTGATGTATTTCTTATAGTTCTTGCGTAAACAGTACCAGGTGGTGGTGTACAGAATGAAGGCGGTGACCTTAAGACCGATGGCCAGGCTCACATACAGATGTCTGTAGGCAATATTGTCGTACAGCAGGCAGGCTCCCTTATCCCCACACTCTGTACTCCAGAAAAGGCATGTTGAGTCAATCCCAGCACCAAAGATCAGAGGAGGGGGGATGAATCCTACAAAACAGGTGAGGAGAAGATTAGATCAGCAGCACAAGCTTTTCATCTCTACAGCTGGAGAAATCAATACTTTAGCCTTAACATCACACCAGTATTGGTCAACAAACTGTATCAAATCAAATCAAATTTTATTTGTCACATGCGCCGAATACAACAGGTGTAGACCTTACCGTGAAATGCTTACTTACAAGCCCTTAACCAACAATGCAGTTCAAGAAATAGAGTTAAGAAAATATTTACTAAATAAACTAAAATAAAAAATAAAAAGTAACACAATAAAATAACAATAACGAGGCTATATACAGGGGGTACCATTACTGAGTCAATGTGCAGGGGTACAGGTTAGTCGAGGTAGTTTGTACATGTAGGTAGGGGTAAAGTGACTATGCATAGATAATAAACAGCGAATAGCAGCAATGTAAATAGTCCGGGTGGCCATTTGATTAATTGTTCAGCAGTCTTATGGCTTGGGGGTAGAAGCTATTAAGGAGCCTTTTGGACATAGACTTGGCGCTCCGGTACCGCTTGCCGTGCGGTAGCAGAGAGAACAGTCTATGACTTGGGTGACTGGAGTCTTTGAGAATTTTTTGGGCCTGCCATACCAGGCGGTGATGCAACTGGTCAGGATGCTCTCGATGGTGCGGCTGTATAACTTTTTGAGGATCTGGGGACCCATACCAAATCTTTTCAGTCTCCTGAGGGGGAAAAGGTGTTGTTGTGCCCTCTTCATGACTGTCTTGGTGTGTTTGGACCATGATAGTTTGTTGGTGATGTGGACACCAAGGACCTTGAAACTCTCGATCCGCTCCACTACAGCCCCGTCGATGTGAATGGGGGCGTGTTCGGCCCTCCTTTTCCTGTAGTCCACGATCAGCTCTTTTGTCTTGCTCACGTTGAGGGAGAGGTTGTTGTCCTGGCACCACACTGCCAGGTCTCTGACCTCCTCCCTATAGGCTGTCTCATCGTTGTTCGTGATCAGGCCTACCACTGTTGTGTCGTCAGCAAACTTAATGATGGTGTTGGAGTCGTGCTTGGCCACGCAGTCGTGGGTGAACAGGGAGTACAGGAGGGGACTAAGCACGCACCCCTGAGGGGCCCACGTGTTGAGGATCAGCGTGGCAGATGTGATGTTGCCTACTCTATCCACCTGGGGGCGGCCCGTCAGGAAGTCCAGGATCCAGTTGCAGAGGGAGGTGTTTAGTCCCAGGGTCCTTAGCTTAGTGATGAGCTTTGTGAGCTGTAGTCAATGAATAGCATTCTCACGTAGGTGTTCCTTTTGTCCAGGTGGGAAAGGGCAGTGTGGAGTGCGATTGAGATTGCGTCATCTGTGGATCTGTTGGGGCGGTATGCGAATTGGAGTGGGTCTGGGGTTTCCGGGATGATGGTGTTAATGTGAGCCATGACCAGCCTGTAGCATCTGAAACCTCAGTATGTTTGATTTATCAACAAAGTAATGTAACAGTGCAACCTGACTAGTTCAGATGTAAGTGTAACGGTACTATAACATACCAAGTAGTCGCAGCAAGAGAAACAAAACTCCAAGAGCATATGATTTCAGCTCAGGGCTCACAGTTCTAGGAAGAGAAGGGAACACAGTATTTGTTACACACAGGAAAGAGAGAGATGTCTCTGAGTAAAGTAAACCTTCTCTTCATTTTGACTGGGTTCTACTGGGCAAGTTATGGCATGGTGGTAAGGTGAATGCCAGTGGTGTTACCTGATGAGGATAATGACGGAGGGTGTCTGAGCCATGGAGCCAATCATGCAGCAGGCACAGATGACACAGAGGAAGGTGAGGAAGGCCTCCTGGCAGCCTGGACTGGGACACTTCCCTGGGACAGCTGTGGCCATCTCACTGTCACTGGATATACATGTACACCCTGTCAGATTCTGAAGACAAGAGAATAGGTATATCTGCATTAGTGTTACTTTCTAACTTTATGTGACAATAAGCCAGATGAACACAGATACAACAAAGCAGTCTCACATCTCTTTCATCTCTCTATATGTAGGTTGTTGGGGAAATGTAAAATGACCAATGGTGGTGACTCTATTTGTGCAGTGTTAATAAAAACCCAGAGATTTCATATGTAGAAAGGTCAACGCTCTGACTGCACACAGTAACACAGAGATATAATACCTATGATTCATAAAAGTGAGAGGAGTGTGATAAAGAACATTCATCCACAGCCTGCTTCGGTTCACTGCATGGGGAGAAGCATCTAAATACAGAGCAAGTTGTAACAATGAAGACCATCTAGATGTAGGATCTCTAGATGCCATTGAAAGGTAATGGATTTGTCACAGCTTGATGTGCATGAAGGCCATGATGGAAGTTACTTTGGTTTAATGAAGGGTAACATAATATCAGGGCATCTGTATGGTACATATGAGCACTGGAGACAACATATTGTACTGGTCCACCGTTGCTCATAAGACAGAACATTGTGTCCATTCCAGGGATTCTATTTCTAGGATGGCTGCTCTGTACTTCAATGACCAAAATTTGGGCTGTGGTGAATGCTTCTATCTATCACAGGACATAATGGGACGCAGGGAGATGAGGGTGGAAGGCTTCCAGGATAATGACCTGAGCCGGAGGGGGGTAGATGCCTGTGCTCACTGTTGTAGTGCAGCCTGCAAAGCAGGAGGACAGGTAGGTGACTCCATTGGAGCCGCACACTGGGCTGACTGAGGAGGTGTAGCAGTTACAGTTACTCATGCAGGGGACTTCTGGTTTCTCGCCCACCCGCAGTGTCCTGGAGAGAGCGGGAGAGAAAGAGAGAGAGAGGAAGAGAGAGAGATACAAACCGCTGTTCAGACTATACTGTGTACATATCAGAAATGCTACTATGTCCCTAAATAAACAAGCTAAACAGTGCAAAGCAAATTTCCAGTATGTGAGAGTGGGGTAAGTTGAGCCAAAGGGGAAGTTGAGCCATCCCTGTTTCTAGGGAACCATACACAAAATGAATCATTTGACCAAATATTTAGAAAGAGGTCATCATTTCATGGAGTTTGTGAAGGAAGAAACCACAAGAAAAAATTGGTAAGCAAGTTAGGTCCAAAAAACTGATTTTCACCAAGTCAAATGAATGTATTGTGTTAGATTGTTCTACACATCAGTTGGGGTCTCTATAAGCTTCAATATGTGGTCCTAAACCTAGCATGAAAGTGCATCCTTGTAGCTGTGTGGGCTAATATAGTCAAAATGTTTGCCTTGGGGTAAGTTGAGCCAAAAGCCATGGGCTAAGTTGAGCCAATGGTTGAGCCAATGGCAAGTTGAGCAAATTAAAGTGTTTTCTTCCCAGGCGTAATGCAAGGCATTATCGCTGGGATATGAGGTAACAACAAGGCCTGGCCTATGTTAAAAGTGTTGTGTTTGTTAGGTGTTAAAATATTCTTACATTTATTAAAATACAAAAAAGCGATTGTGATTGTGTTGAGTTGTGTTTGGGAAATAAAGATAGTCATGATTTTAAAAAGGTAGTGGTAACATTGAATTCAGTACAGAAATGTGTAGGTGGCTTAACTTACCCTTTCCCACAGCTCAACTTAGCCCAAACCCGGGGTAAGTTGTGCCAAGAGACCACTTTTTTTGGACAAGCTATGTTTTCAATTTTCAACTGTAATGTTTACATGAATTATGATTATTTCCAGGGATACACAACATCCTTAAATATATGTAGATATCTTTGTTAGAAAGAATACAATATTTCCCTTGACGGAGTGATGCTGAATGTCTCAACTTACCCCACTCTCCCCTACAAGCTATTATCCTATAATTGGTCTCTTAAAAATTGGTGAAAACTGATTTTGTAAAACGTATATTCTGACAAACGTTTCCGTTGTCAGAGTGTGGCTGACTTTGTTCCCACTTTCATCAAACACCCTTCCCCCAACAGGAGCGCTGCTATTACATATACTAAACCAGTGTATGTACAGGCTGTTCTTACTCATTGCCATAGGGGACGGTCACCCCAGCGACAGGCCCTGTGTCACAGCCAAGGAAGAGGAAGGAGACGTAGCAGGCGGTGGAGATCAGGTTGACCAGCATGGCCATGCGAATGGCCCCCAGGGCTGAGAGGTTCAGCTTCTTGACCAGAAGCCCCCCCAGGAATATCCCCAGACAAGCACAGGGGATGGCCGTCATACCTAGAGAGAGTTAATACCACCAGGTTAAGCTAATCTCCTTCTCATATACTGCACTGATGCTTCTCATTGTACTGCTCTCTGTCTACTGTGTGGCACCAGGGGGTCTGGGGCTGTGTGTATGTGTGTGTGTATATGTGCATGTATGTGAGAGAGAGAGTGTGTGTGTGTCGTGCATATGCGTGCCACTCACCTAGTAGTTGATTGGCTGAGGAGGTTGTGAGGTTAAACTGCTGCTCCAGGTACTTCCCCAGGAAGGCAGCGAAGCCAGCCACTACACCAATCTCCATACAGGCAGCCAGCGTGATGCAGGTATATACTGGGTTGGACAGGAGGTGCTTGGTCACCTTAGGGATCACTGAGAAGAGAAGATCCTTAATATCAAAGCAACACATGGACACAGACAACTGCTATCAAGTCTAACTATCTCTTGCTATAAAACAAAAATCTGCCAGTTACACTAAACTGGTATAACGTTAATATAAATATCTGAAAACATTTTGTAATTTGTATGTGGAATTTATTTTATTCTTTCCTCATATCTATTAAAAAGCTACATAATTTCAGTAGGAGCAGAGGATTTCATTCCCTTGTTATCTTTTCTCACAACAGACAACATATATCACACACTACCCTAGATGGCCTATCAGACAAAATAGTGCAGACTTTACAAAACAGCATCTGGAACTGTGTTTTTCAAATCTTCATTGCAGTTTTGAGAATAAACATTTTCATAAAATAAAATAAAATAATCCTACAGCAACAGGAAATGTGAATTATTATGTGGATTATAATTAATGCATTTTTTTTGTAGGGGTTGATACATTTTTGTTAGGGCAAATCAAGTCTGACATTTTTAAATGGAAATTACTAACTTTAGAAGCCTTTTTAAACCTTGAATATACTACAAGTTATATTTCCTGCTGTGCAGGAACATTCTCAGCAAAAAAAGAGTGATCAAATTAAGATCCTACATTTGTACCTACAGTGCCTTCGGAAAGAATTCAGACCCCTTAAGTTTTCCACATTTTACGTTACAGCCATATTCTAAAATGGATTAAATAAATAAACATCCTCAGTGATCTACACACAATACCCCATAATGACAAAGCAAAAACAGGTTTTAGGAACTGTCCGTAGAGCTTCGAGACAGGATTGTGTTGAGGCACAGATCTGGGGAAGGGTACCAAAATATTTCTGCAGCATTGAAGGTCCCAAAGAACCCAGTGGGCTCCATCATTCTTAAATGGAATAAGTTTGGAACCGTCAAGACTCTTCCTAGAGCTGGCTGCCCGGCCAAACTGATCAATCAGGGGAGAAGGGCCTTGGTCAGGGAGGTGACCAAGAACCCGATGGTCACTCTGACAGAGCTCTAGAGTTCCTCTCTGGAGATGGGAGAACCTTCCAGAAGGACAACCATCTCTGCAGCACTCCACCAATCAAGCCTTTATAGAGTGGCCAGATGGAAGCCACTCCTCAGTAAAAGGCACATGACAGCCCGCTTGGAGTTTGCCAAAAGGCACCTAAAGACTCAGACCATGAGAAACAAGATTCTCTGGCCTGATGAAACCAAGATTGAACTCTTTGGCCTGAATGCCAAGGGTCATGTCTGGAGGAAACCTGCACCATCCCTACGGTGAAGATTGGTGGTGGCAACATCATGCTGTGGGGATGTTTTTCAGCGGCAGGGACTGGGAGATAAGTCAGGATCGAGGGAAAGATGAACGGAGCAAAGTACAGAGAGATCCTTGATGAAAACCTGCTCCAGAGCGCTCAGGACCTCAGACTGGGGCGAAGGTTCACCTTCCAACAGGATACCAACCCTAAGCACATAGCCAAGACTACGCAGGAGTGGCTTCGGGACATGTCTCTGAATGTCCTTGAGTGGCCCAGCCAGAGCCCGGACTTGAACCCGTTTGAACATCTCTGGAGAGACCTGAAAATAGCTGTGCATTAACACTCCCCATTCAACCTGTCAGAGCTTGAGAGGATCTGCAGAGAAGAATAGGAGAATCCTCCCCAAATACAGGTGTGCCAAGCGTCATACCCAAGAAGACTTGAGGCTGTAATCGCTGCCAAAGGTGCTTCAACAAAGTACTGAGTAAAGGGTAATATTTCAGTTTTTTATTTTTAACATTTCTAAAAACCTGTTTTTGCTTTGTCATTACGGGGTATACTGTGTGTAGATTGTGTAGATTGATGAGGGAAAAAAACTATTTAATCAATTTTAGAATAAGGCTGTAACGTAACAAAATGTGGAAATTGGTAGAGCATGGTGCTTGCAACACCAGGGTTGTGGGTTCGATTCCCACGGGGGGCCAGTATGAAAAATGTATGCACTCACTAACTGTAAGTCGCTCTGGATAAGAGCGTCTGCTAAAATGACTAAAATTTAAAAATTTAAAAAGTCAAGGGGTCTGAATACTTTCCGAAGGCACTGTATATGTACATATCTACCTAAATTACCTCGTAGCCCTGCACATCGACTCGGTACTGGTCCCCAGTGTATATAGACAAGTTATCGTTACTTATTGTGTATTTTTTTCTATATTTTACTCTCTGCATCGTTGGGAAGGGCCCGTAAGTAAGCATTTCACTGTTAGTTTACTCCTGTTGTTTACTAAGCCTGTGACCAATAACATTGGATTTGATTTGAGTATCTTCTAGATTGTGGAGACTACAATATGTTTATTTGGCCTCATACGGAATGCTCCAACATTGACATGAGTACTGTATAGAACCATGTGTGGGCACGTAACAGCCATAAGCCAAATCAAATCAAATCAAATTGTTTTGGTCACATACACATATTTAGCAGATGTTATTGCGGGTGTAGCGAAATGCTTGTGTTCCTAGCTCCAACAGTGCAGTAGTATCTAACAATTCACAACAATACACACAAATCTAAAAGTAAAAGAACGGAATTAAGAAATATATAAATATTAGGATGCGCAATGTCGGAATGGCATTGACTAAAATACAGTACAATACAGTATATACATATGGAATTAGTAAAGCACTATGTAAACATTATTAAAGTGACTAGTGTTCCATTATTAGTCCCGTGTAGCTCAGTTGGTAGAGCATGGCGGTTGCAACGCCAGGGTTGTGGGTTCAATTCCCACGGGGGACTAGTAAGATATTTTTTTTATTAAAGTGACCAGTGATTCCATGTCTATGTACATAGGGCAGCAGCCTCTAAGGTGCAGGGTTGAGTAACCGGGTGGTAGCTGGCTAGTGATGGCTATTTAACAGTCTGACGGCCTTGAGATAGAAGCTGTCCCAGCTTTGATGCACCTGTACTGACCTCGCCTTCTGGATGATAGCGGGGTGAACAGGCCGAAGCTCGGGTAGTTGATGTCCATGAGGATTTTTTTGGCCTTCCTGAGACATCGGGTGCTGTAAGCGTCCTGGAGGGCAGGCAGTGTGACCACGGTGATGCGTTGGGCAGACCGCACCACCCTCTGGAGAGCCCTGCGGTTGCGGGCGGTGCAGTTGCCGTACCAGGCGGTGATATAGCCCGACAGGATGCTTTCAATTGTGCATCTGTAAAAGTTTGTGAGGGTCTTAGGGGCCAAGCCACATTTCTTCAGCCTCCGGAGGTTGAAGAGGCGCTGTTGCGCCTTCTTCACCACACCGTCTGTGTGGGTAGACCATTTCAGATTGTCGGCGATGTGTACTCTGAGGAACTTGAAGCTTTTCACCTTCTCCACTGCAGTCCCGTCGATGTGGATAGGGGTGTGCTCCCTCTGTTGTCTCCTGAAGTCCACGATCAGCTCCTTCGTTTTGTTGACATTGAGGGAGAGGTTATATTCCTGGCACCACTCCGCCAGGGCCCTCACCTCCTCCCTGTAGGCGGTCTCGTCATTGTTGGTAATCGGGCCTACTACTGTTGTGTCGTCTGCAAACATGATGATTGAGTTGGAGGCGTGCGTGGCCACGCAGTCATGGGTGAACAAGGAGTACAGGAGGGGGCTGAGCAAGCACCCTTGTGGGGCCCCTGTGTTGAGGATCAGCGTAGTTGAAGTGTTGTTTCCTACCTTCACCACCTGGGGGCAGCCCGTCAGGAAGTCCAGGACCCAGTTGCACAGGGCGGGGTTCAGACCCAGGGCCCCAAGCTTGATGATGAGCTTGGAGGGTACTATGGTGTTGAAGGCTAAGCTATAGTCAATGTTACTTTTGTCGGCCACGGAGAACGAGAGCCCACAGTCCTTGGGAGCGGGCTGCGTCAGTGGCACTGTGTTATCCTCAAAGCGGGTGAAGAAGGTGTTTAGCTTGTCCGGCAGCAAGACGTCGGTGTCCGCGACGTGGCTGGTTTTCCCTTTGTAATCTGTGATTGTCTATAGACCCTGCCACATACGTCTCGTGTCTGAGCCGTTGAATTGCGACTCCACTTTGTCTCTGTACTGAAGTTTTGCCTGTTTGATTGCGTTACATTTGACATTTTAGTCATTTAGCAGACGCTCTTATCCAGAGTGACTTACAGTTAGTGAGTTTATACATTATTTATATTTTTCATACTGGCCCCCCGTGGGAGGGAATAACTACACTGTTTGTATTCAACCATATTCCCAGTCACCTTGCCGTGGTTAAATGCAGTTGTTCGCGCTTTCAGTTTTGCGCGAATGCTGCCATCTATCCATGGTTTTTGGTTTGGGTAGGTTTTAATAGTCACAGTGGGAACAACATCCCCTATACACTTCCTGATGAACTCAGTCACCGTGTCCATGTATACGTCAATGTTATTCTCAGAGGCAACACGGAACATATCCTAGTACGCGTGATCAAAACAATCTTGAAGCATGGATTCCAATTGGTCAGACCAGCGTTGAATAGACCTTAGCACGGGTCCTTCCTGTTTGAAGTTCTGCCTATAAGAAGGGAGGAGCAGGATGGAGTTGTGATCTGATTTTCCGAAGGGAGGGCGGGGGAGGGCCTTGTAACCATCCCGGAAAGGGGAGTAACAATGGTCGAGAGTTTTTGATGAGCGAGTACTACAGGCAATGTGTTGATAGAACTTCGGTAGCGTTTTCCTCAAATTTGCTTTGTTAAAATCCCCAGCTACAATAAATGCGGTCTCAGGATATGTGGTTTCCAGTTTGCACAAAGTCCAGTGTAGTTCCTTGAGGGCCGTCGTGGTATCGGCTTGAGGGGGAATATACACGGCTGTGACTATAACCGAAGATAATTCTCTTGGGAGTTAATAGGGTCGGCATTTGATTGTGAGGTATTCTAACAAATCATGGTGGTATACAGATGGAGAACAAGTGATGTGCAACACTATATACAATATAATAATATAATAAAACATAACAAGTGTTAATTTAACTGCAAAATACTCAATGCAATATAAAGAGACAGAAAAAATGTCCCCCCTCTCACCTCTGAGCTGCTGAAAGCAGGTGGGGCCGTTGACAGGCTCATGGTTATTGTGTACGACCCCGTTGCTGGACTTGGGCATCTCAGTATAGTCCAGGGGCAGAGAGGTAGAGGGGAGCATGGCCTGCTCACTCTCCCCTCCACCGTCCCTGTCCTTCTCTCGGTCTGACAGGGTTTGGGGGAAGCCAAACATGAAGAGGGATGAGAAAAAGAGTAAGGCACCACACAGGAGGAAGCCCCCCCACCAGGCTCCGATCCACCGAGGGTCATCAGAGGTGATGTCCAGCTTACCTGCGGAGAGGGAATACTTTTATCAGACTAAATATTGAGAGGAAAACACTTGCTTCTTGGCTTATATTCAACTACTGAGGAATTCCAATGTTAGATTCTAGAGGGAGAGTGTTAATTTAACTTGAATTTAACAATTACATTATAGGCTCATAATTCAATCATTCAATAATAATACTATAATGTTAATAAACAAAATGTACATTATTTTGGTTTACCTTGAATAACAAAGTACTTAGCTCTAATTATGTGTTGCTAGGTTAATGGACATTACATTTTAGCAGACACTCTTATCCAGAGTGACTTACAGGAGCAATTAGGGTTAAGTGCCTTGCTTAAGTGCACATCGACAGATTTTTCACCTAGTCGGCTCGGGGATTAGAACCAGCGACCTTTCGGTTACTGGCACAATGCTCTTACCCACTAAGCTACCTGCCACATCTCAATTGTTTTTCCATAGAACAGTGTTGGAGTGATGTGAGGTTGTATTTCCCAGTAACTCACTGGTGTCGATGAATAGGAAGTCCACATAGAACTTGGTGCAGAGCGACCCCAGGAGGAAACCACAGGCAGGCCCAAACACCAGAGTAGAGAAGACGATCCCTGGAATGACATGGAGACAAGTAGAGAGATAAAGCTTTATAGTAGTACAGTAGACAACACATGTTAACCAGCTCCTGGATGTAATGTAACAATTCTAAACTCAACCACAAGGTGGTGAACCATGTTCACTAATCCGTGGCTTTTTCCAGAGGGCAGTATGGGGCAAGCTTTATAATACAGAGGGCCGGAATCAAGGGACTATTTCATTGTATGGACAAATGTTGGATTTAAGCATGCTATGTAAATAGTCATGCTAAAAAAAGTCAAGGAAACTATATTGAACTGCACTTAAATATGTGTATCACCTCTGATCCTAATCAGCCAGATTTTGACAATCATCAACCCACCGATGCCATACAATAATGAGAGAAATTATACTTGCTCTACCTACTGTACATATAGAACAAATTCACTTGATATAGATAAAAGAGACCTACTATAAAACAGTAAAAATCTACAAAACAGCCCAAGTCTAATAGTGTGGCCACAAATCCTCATTAAAGTGCTATCTGTCAGAGGGTGGGTGAGAGCCTGGCACACGGAGTCAGACAGACAGAGGTGGACAAAGAGCCAGCGCTCATGAGGACCTGGGAGGCTTTATTTGGCCACCAAATCTCCTTTCACCTTTCGACATATTGTCTCATTTAATGTAAACTGATTCATTCAAAGTGGAAACAAAACATCACATTTAATGTGTTAGTGAGCCAGGGCATTGGATAGTATAGATAACGTGGGTTAGAGCAGTAAGCAGCTCCTGGACCAACTGACACTCCCCCAGAGCCTCTGGCTGAAGCTCAGGCCAGTCAGGTCTTGTGCTGGGGAGGCTCAGAGCCCATGGCCATGTTATTACTGAAATAAAATTACACTTAGCGTAATACTGAGTTTTGGCAGGTGCTGTTTGAAATGCCTGATGGGCAGACAGACAATGGGAGGTGGCTTGACAGGCAGCACTTCACCCAACACAAGTCGATTCACAGCAAAAAATAACACAGATACTGTAAATGTCAGAAGATAGAAGTGTGGCTCTCTCTTTTTCATCAGGTCTGCACAAGATAAAGTATGTTTGCAGAGTGTGTTTCCCTTTTCCCTCTAGTGCATGGTAGTCACATTATGCATTATGGGTGCATTATGGGTTATGGGTACATTATGGGTTTGAACCCTAAAATAGTAATGTTTTAATCCAGCAATGAGTTTACTGGAATTACATTTGTTTACAAATGTTCTTCATTATTACGAAACAGTGCTATTTCGGTTGAATGCATTCAGTTGTGCAACTGACTAGGTATCCCCTTTCCCTGTCTAGAAAGTGCAGAGAACACTTAAGCAGAGGTGTGATATTACGCCTTAGCTGGTTGACTAATTCTGATGATTTAGAGATACTAAAAAGCAGTAGCACTCCTTGCTATCCCAGCTCCCTTTGCAGTTGTGCTCCATTAAAGCGAGGGGGCGGAGGGAGGAAGGGAAGGGAGCGGGAGCCCCACTGAGTGGAGCAGCCGCCTGACATTAGCCCCGTGCTGGCTCCGGGTCGGCCATAGCACCGGCACCAATGGGAATCCAGCTCCAGTCAGCATGACAGATGTTATGCATACGCCTCGAGCAGCCAATTAATGAGCATGTATGGAAAAAATGAGTCAGTTTCATCATTCACTAAATTACACTTGCTCAGATCAAAGGTGTATATACATGTACATCACTGTGAATGCTGACAATGACACCCTGCTTCCTGAACATACCACCATACTGCCCACACCTAAGTAGTGAATTAACATGCACATTCAAACACATTATCAGTTTTAGTAGTCTTTATATTCCATAGGCTACATGTTTCACATTACTGGCTTGTAAGGTTATCCTATCAATAAATGACTATGTTTCTCCTAGGCAAGGCACAGCAATAAAGTACTGCACATTGTTCCTGTCATAACACAGGACAAATCAGGTCACTTTGTCTGGATAAAGAGAGGGAAGTCTGGAGTGTTTACTTCATGGTTGTCAAGCTGGGAACAAAACATATTGCTTCTTCCTGAGACCTAGGAAAAACCCTGGTTGTCTGGGAGGTTGGCATTAAGGCCAACATGGCCTGTTGGTTGAAGGCAAATAGAGACACAGCTACAGTGAGCTCCAAAAGTATTGGGACAGTGACACATTTTTTGTTGTTTTGGCTCTGTACTCCAGCTCTTCAGAGTTGAAATACAATGACTAAGTGGAGACTGTCAGCTTTAATTTGAGGGTATTTTCATCCATATCGGGTTAAACGTTTAGAAATTAAAGCACTTGTTGTACATCGAAATGTCCTTGTTTTCGAAAGTAAAACAATTTTTTTGTCCATTAAAATAACATCAAATTGATCAGAAATACAGTGTAGACATTGTTAATGTTGCAAAGAAAAAGTCCAGTGTCTGTGTTATTTTGCCCATCTTAATCTTTTTTTTTTTATTGGCCAGTCTGAGATATGGCTTTTTATTTGCAACTCTGCCTAGAAGGTCAGCATCCCGGAGTCGTCTCTTCACTGTTGACGTTGAGACTGGTGTTTTGTGGGTACTATTTAATGAAGCTGCCAGTTGAGGACCTGTGAGGTGTCTGTTTCTCAAACTAGACACTCTAATGTATTTGTCTTCTTGCTCAGTTGTGCAACGGGGCCTCCCACTCCTCTTTCTATTCTGGTTAGAGCAAGTTTGCGCTGTTCTGTGAAGGGAGTAGTACACAGCGTTGTACGAGATCTTCAGATTCTTGGCAATTTCTCGCATGGAATAGCCTTCATTTCTCAGAACAAGAATAGACTGACGAGTTTCAGAAGAAAGTTATTTGTTTCTGGCCATATTGAGCCTGTATTCGAACCCACAATTGCTGATGCTCCAGATACTCAACAAGTCTCAAGAAGGCCAGTTTTATTGCTTCTTTAATCAGCACAACAGCTTTCAGCTGTGCTAACATAATTGCAAAAGGGTTTTCTAATTATCAATTAGCCTTTTAAAATGATAAACTTGGATTAGCAAACACAACGTGCCATTGGAACACAAGACTGATGGTTGCTCATAATGGGCCTCTGTACGCCTATGTAGATATTTTTTCCAGCTACAATAGCCATTTACAACATTAACAATGTCTACACTGTATTTCTGATCAATTTTATGTTATTTTAATGGACAAAAAAATTGCTTTTCTTTCGAAAACAAGGACATTTCTAAGTGACCCCAAACTTTTGAACAGTAATGTATATATCCCTAAAGCACTATTGTACAGCAGGATGTTTTTCCTGTTCCAGAGTGATATATCACTAAGTCAATCATACAATATGTATCACATATAGGCCTCCTAGATTACTCTAGGACAGTGTTGGGGGTAACGCGTTATAAAGTAATGCGTTAGAGTACTCAGATAACTTTGTGGTAACACATTCGTTTTTCAATTTAAAGGGATAGTTCACCCAAATTACATATTGGTTTTCTTACCCTGTAAGTAGTCTATGGACAAAGTATGACAGCAATCCATGCTTTGGTTCAGTGTTCCTGGCACTGTTCCCGCATGCTAACGTTTTAGCATTTGTGGCACAAATCCCATTTAAGTTATGGGACCAATATTAACATTTTTCACGCTTCATGTCCAAATCCTCCAGAAGTATCTAAAATTGATTGTGAAGCTCAACAAAGTCACTTATAGATTATTTCAACGTGATGTCCGAAAAATGCTAATATCGGTCCCATGACTTGAATAGGATTTGTGCCACAAATGCTAAAATGTTAGCATGTGGAAACAGTGCCAGGGAAACATGCTCTAATACCTTGTCCATAGACTGCTTATAGGGTAAGGAAACCAATATGGCATTTTGTAATTTGGGTGAACTATCCCTTTAAGTAATCAGTTACTTAGCTACTTTTTTCAAATAAGTAACGAGTTACTTTTACAATATTATTTCCCTTTTTCTTTGTTGGCACAAATTAAAATCACTCCCCCAGCCTACGTTCGCCGTGGTTCGCGCTCTTCCTGTTTCTGCACGAACGTTGCAGCGGGTAGCTGGCATGGTAGCTGGTAACTAGATAGCTAGCAAGATGGCAGAGACAATAGCCTTTATCATGGAATTATTGACAGTACTTTGAATTGGTAGAAGAAAAGGACAGATGTTACCCCTCGAATCTTGACTGATGCTACTTGCAGGATTCACATGCAAACACAAGATCATCGGGTTCAGGCTATTGCCCGATTTATTGTCTGGTAATAAAGTAAACAACGTAGCTAGGTGATCAAGTAAGGCTCAGTTGATAAGAAATTACATTTCTCCAGTTCTGTCTTCACAATAAACATAAAGGAAAGGGCACTACAATTACACAATGTCATCGTATAGTTTTACATAGAATCTCTCTGGCCAGTTCGTATTTGTGTGTAAAACAGTAGCCAGTTGTCCTTGTATTTGAGCTCTCCCTTTACTGTCTCGAGTTGGTTTTATATAATTTATTTTAAGTATTGTAAAGGAGATACTGCATCTGTCATTATTACTTGAGTTGGTATATCCCTGAGTTATAGATTAGCCTACGGACAGTAGGCTATGCAAGCCATTCAAAGGTAGTGTGCGTCCTCATCTGGGCATAAGAATGAATGACCAACACATGCAAGGCCTCTTCAGAAGGTTTTCTGTATTTGGTAATGCAAATGTAATGTAACTAGTTACTTTCCATAGTAAGTAACGGTGTAACATAACAAGTTTATTTTATTGCAAGTAACAAGTTACTTTTAAAAGTACTTTCCCCCAACACTGCTCTAGGATCAATCACTGTGTCTGTAGTCTAGAAGCTGACTCCAGTACAGTCTGTCATCTATTTCTCCAACCAGCTGTAACAATTGCTGATCTCTGACTGTGATTGAATAGCCTACAAGTCAATTCCCGTGAAACAATAAGTTATGCACCAAATTATCACTGTTAGCTTCACCATGGTGTTCTACAGTTAAGTAATTCCTGAAAGACTGAAAAAATACTACATGGAACAAAACTATTCCCAAAATAGTACAGAGCTGTAAACATTTAATAAAAACAGGAGAGAGAAAGCACAGGGAAAAGAGTATGCCAATAAAGTTGTCATGCATGCTGACAGCATTTTCAGGAGAAACTGCAGCACAGTTTCCATCTTGTGTATACACTAAATGGCCTGTTGTGCATCAAATTAGTACTGTGCAGCTGCTGTTTCAAGCTTTTCCTTAGAAACAGAGAGTGTTGTCTCCACATAGCAACAACACCACCATTGCTCTCACCACAGGAAACCTCAAAGAAGAAAAACTCAGTTAGTGATATCACCTTCCAGGGGCTTGCCGGATAAGGCATCAGCCTGCTTCAGTGCAGAACGAGTGTGCTCGCATACTCCCTTAAAAGACCTTCGCTTGAAAAATTAGAAAAAAGCAGCAATAGTACTGTTTGTCCATTTTGAGACACTGTAGTCAGTATACGCTTCCTCAAAGTAGTCAGAATTAATCTGAAATAACTCAAGAAATCTGTCATAAATGTTGAAGTTTTTGCCGAAGAGATCTTAGTCGTGCAATTTGACATCTAACTAAGATGTTTGGTGCAGTATTTTTCAATGAAAAAATGTGCATGAAAACGAGTCGTCTCTCGTTGAATGACAACAAATAATTTATTGAAGAATC